CTGTTCTAAACATTTTGAATTTCGGCATTCCCATGATATATCCTTGGAAGGAAAAGATGTATAATAATAAGGTTATTATGAGAATACCAAAAAGTATGCACTCAGACAGTACGCCAGTTTGTCGATACTCCCACTGTACTGTCTTCGTGCATACTTCAAGGTATCCTCGTAATAACCTCATATTATTATACATCTGACGCCATAAATTACAGCGTGCCAACATTTTACAGTGTATTTTCATCCTACCATATTAGGAAATGCGAATTCCAAATATGAAATGATTATGCGCATAAACGTCCTCCAATAATAAAAACAAACATGGCTGCCACCAGGTGGTTTGACTGGTCTCCATAAAAAAAAGTTTGCTGATTCTGTTCTAAACTTCTTGGATTTCAGCATTCCCATGATGTATCCTTGGAAGAAAAGATGTATAATAAAAAGGTATTACGAGGATACCTCACAGTACGCCCTCGCATTGACCGACGCGCATACTTCTGCTGTACTGTTTTTGTACATACTTTGGGATATCCTGTAATAACCTCATAGTACCTAGACTAGTACTGTGCATATATAGAGCATGGCTGATGCAGAATTCCCATTGCATATAATAGGAAAAACTACCACTCATTTAAAACACTAAATAGTCAATTTATTTTAATAACAATATGCATCGTGTCGATGACAGTATATCATGCTGTCAACAATTCAACGCAACATCCTAAAAAATTGGGGGCACAACAATTTTCCAAGTTTTCATACTTTGAAAGCAGTCATTGGGAGATTTCATGGTTTCATGAAAATAAAATAGTTTACAATATAAATGTAGAATGGCAAAAACTCACTTGTGTACCAGCAGCGGGAGTCTGTTGTACAATAGTTGCGAGAGGTTCAACTGCAATACCAATCTGAGATATTGTGTTACTTTGAAAGGACTGCTGCGCTGCCATCATACCAAATGGACCAGAGCTTAAAAGGTCATCTATAATACACAAATTTTAAGATGTGACAACTACAGAATAGATCTACAAGTAATTATTAATGTATTTGGTAAGGACAAATAACAATATGGCTGCCAGTCGGCCATTTAAATTCATAGCAACATAATGACATGCATGTGTGGAGTTCATACCAAGTATCAATTAAATCAGCCTGGAAATACCTGACATGTTCAAATTTGTTTTCCCCATTCAGACAAAGTTGAAAATTGGTGCCATATGGATCGACCTCTACTAACAGTGTTGATGTTTGATAAGGTACATATACACTGTATCCTATTTGCTCTATCAGTAGCACATGCGCTTACATAAATTGCAGACATACTCTATGGTCAAAATAACTAATACTTTAATGATTCAGCAAATATGGTTTTTATTTTTTATGCTCTTCTATTGGCAATGCACTTCTAATAGAGCAAGTATGCAGTATTCTAATGCTGACCAGAACAGATGCACTAAATGTGGGTCCTGGGGAGCAGATCCTCTGGCAACCATAAAATTCTGATTCACATGTGGCCACAGTCTTCAACTGTGACCCGTCTGATAGTAATTTTGGCCCCAAGGAAGCCATAGAATGCTTCATTTTAACTTAGAATTATCAAAAACTGCACACCCTGGTTGGGAGAACCAGATCTCCCCACTTGTTGGCGCCGCTAAATTGCAGTGCTACCTCTTGCAGTTTTTTTCTAGAAAAACCCCTGTGTCCGTAAATACAAAGTTAACTGTGACAACGTACTGTTCATCTAGTAGCATCTCGCACATCACAATTGTGTTACAGTTAAGTTACAGCCATGTAGAACGATGAGCTGAAAATTTAACAATGCTACAATTAATCTCTTACTTACCTGGTTTGATTTTTGTGATTTTGAAAATAGCACTTGGTTTTTGGTTTGAGATGTGCCCTAACAACTGCCACTGTGGTCCCTCGGGGCTCGGCCAGCTGAAATGTACCGACCCTCCCATGCCATCCGGGAAAGGTATAGTACCCAGTAGGAATATCACCACATGGTTTAGATTCTCTGGGTTTTCTATGTTGAAAATGAAATGAGTTTCATCTATCTGTTGAGCCTGTGCTTGAATCTACAAGAGAATATAGTATTAAATGTAATCTCTTGTCAGCAGCTTTGGCAATGTTTGTATTTCATGGTGAAAATATATCCAGACAATGCTAGAAGAATACAGTTCTTGACTGGTTTTATGAAAATTGTGGAAATACTCCTATTAACCAAAAACATTATGGTTTGTGTTAATAGTAGATTTATTTTAAAAAATGGGCCAAATATAATACAAATTCTGAGTAATATTTCCATAGAACACAATGAGATAATTGATTTATTTTAAGTGTTTGATTGTGAAAAGTGAATGACCTGACCCAATTTCTAATGAGTGCTGCTATTGCGACAACCATGGAAGGTACCTT